CCAGTGATCTCTCATCCATCCATCCTTCTGATTCTTCATCTCAATAAAAAATCGATAATCGATTCCAAATGCTCGAATGGGCAACTGGATAACATCGACGTTGCTCCGTTCGTTCGACCTATTTCAACGCCATCATCAACGCCAATTTCAACAGTTTCATCGATTTTTAGAGTATAGCAGAGGTTAGGCACAGACTACATAGACTACAAACAGACTACAAACTACAAACATCCTCGAACAGCAATGTATGCGAAAAAGTTTACAGGATCCGATCCACAGACGGTGCGAACCGCCGCCGAAATCGTCGCACTTCAGAGGATGAAGGTGAGGAAAATTTAGAAATTCGGGAATTTGAAAATTTTGGCTTGGCGGGAATTCAAATTTTTGACTTTTTTTTGAAAAAAAATCTGAGGAATCTGAAAACTTCGAGGTTTTTGAAAATCCAGAATTCTGGAAAAATATTTTATTTTGAAAATTATTATGCTTGTCTGAGAAAAAAAAGGTTGAGACGCAGAGAAAAAGTGTTTGCGTCTCCACTTAATGTGTGCTATTTAGGCTCTCCGCTTCGATATCGCTACCGTATTCAGACTGCAAAAAATACTCTCTAACCTTTTTTTTCTCAGACAAGCATAATATTGGTCTCTGAAAAAATTCAGAAATATAGGGTTATTCAATATTTGTTTCTTAAATACAAAAAATACATGAAATACATTTTTTCGCATGCATGCATTAATTTTTTGTGTTGAAAAAATACAAGAAAATACATTTTTATATCATGAATAACCCCAATGGTCAACGGATGAATTCTTGACGACACTACGATAACGACTATAAAAGTCGAAAAGGCTAAATCAGAAATCTGCAATGAAGAAATCAAACGTCTACAAGAATCCAATCAACCTCATCTAGATGCTTATCCTCTTTTCCAGTCAGCGTGTCTTACAGTGTTCACTCGCATAAGTATAATCTTCACCTCGATTATCATTCAATGAAAGTGAATCGCTGAAAACTCGATTTTTGACACTCCGACAGTAGTTTTTTCGGTCAATAAAACAGAAAACGGTCTATACCGCTGTCTTTGTTTTCGGCCTAACCACCTTCTAAATTAGGTCCATCATAGACAAGCATATTCACTCGACACGCGATATTCCCAACATGAACATAGGTCGTTTTTCGAGTCATCCGTCTGTCGTGATCATGATTTCCTTATTCCTGACCATCGTTAGTACTGGTGTCCAATATAAATATCTTATGACTCACTCTCTCACACATGACTCCTCTTTTATTCTGCGTATCCTATTAGCACACACTATTCCGTACCTCATTGTTCTTCCATTTCTCCTCTTCGTTTCCAATTCGTTTCCGTCCGGAGAGAGGCAGCCCAAATTGTGCAAGTTTCGACTTTTTGTACCTTTTTATTCCGTCGTCTCGTTTTGGAGCTATAATCTTCTCACGATTCTCTCGTTTTCAGCAAAATCGTGCTGCAGTCGTTTCGATCCGCACCTTGCTTCGAACGTCTTCGGATATTCCGACGACGGCGGAAAAGATGACGGCGATGCGGGAAGCTCGTGGCGATTCTGCATCGGCGGACCCGTTGAATGGAGCTCGCAGCAAAATAAATGATAGGAAATTCGCATTTCTAAATCAGGTAAGCAAAATGTTTTTTGGGATTTTTGAATTTCTGAAAATTTAGAAGTTTATAAACATGGTGGAGCTCCATGGAGAAACATTTTTTTTCGAAAACTCTTGATATTTTCAGATAACCCACCCTGACTACCGTAGTCTACCTACATCAGCTGCCGCATCGCAATCATCTGTTCCTTCGACCCCAGTCACCATCCCACTAAAATCGAATGGAGCTGAACAGATCATATTCCGTGAATTCGGTGCACCAATCGCAACTCCTGAAGACGAAGAACTGCTCGATGATCTGGAAATGTGAGAATTTTAAAACTTTAAAATATTTTATCGTCTCCTTTTGTTTTCAGAAAATCCGAGCCAGTGCTTTCACCGCGCAGAGCATTTACGGATTTCGGAGAAAGTGAGGAGAAGGAAAATAGAGAAGAGGATACTGATGCAGATACGACGATTCGGGAAGACATTGATGATGTGAGAAAATGTGATGATGTTGAAAAGGACGAATATGACGATGATGAATGCATAATGAAAACATCAGAATCGAATGTTCAGGAGGATGAAGATATTGAAGAACCAATGAAAAACGAATTGGAAAATGAAGAGGTGGAGGAAGAGCCAACATTAGATGAATCAGTGACAGATTCACAAATTGAAGAAATCATTGACGTCAAACCGGAAGAAGAGCGGAAATCTCCAAAAATAGAACCTATAGATTTCATTCGAATGGTTGAAAGTGCTCCAGAGCTGTCAAATCCCTTCCGAGCATCTTCAGAAAAACAAGAAGTCGAAGCGGAGGAGATTCGAAAAATGACCGAATCGTATGGTGAACCACGGAAAGCGGTTCTTCATAGAGTATACGATACTGTCGAGGAAACTGATGAAGATGAGACTGAAACTGAAACAGAGACCGAAACGGAAAATGAGGATATGGATGAAGACGTGGATGACGATGTTAGAAGACAGGTGAGAAGTGTATTCAAGAGCGAAGAAAATATAAGCCTACTGCGAAAAAAATCTAGAAGTAGTTCAAAAAATTCGGAGAATATGTGGTCTTGTGACTGAAAAAAAACGGATCACATTTCGATTTCCAGCACTTGTCCAAGTAATCGGATATGTGCAACGTCTTTTCACACGACAACTCTGGCAGTCCCGCATATAAGTGAAATGTGCCATCTGTTTTTTTTTCAGGTTTTTGTTTTATGCTTACACTTGAAAAGTTCTAATTCTACTAATTCTCCAGTCAGCCAAAGTCGACTTACGAAGTGTTTGTCAACTTCTTTTTTCGAAATAACACTTCAAAAATCAAGAAAAAAAATCTTTCCCACATTAGGTCGTCTACTTTGCTCACCACCAACCAACTATTTAGTTTTTCATAGTTTTTTACTGCTTCTTTCTTTTTCTTCTTTTGTTCCATGACAAGAGAGTAAAACACATGATAGATGGGCACCCATATACAGCTGAGCATCTCTTTTCTTTCTTTTCCCTGGGTTTATCTCGTGCCCCGGATCTCGTGATTTCTTCTTTCGGGACACCCTTTATTCTTTATTTCTGCTCCACAGATTCACTGCTCCACAGCCGTTTTCTCACTTTTTCAGCGTTCTCTGTATTTCGAAAATTGACCCCAAAGCCAATTAGATTTCCCTCGGATGGGAAGGTCCATATGGGGTGCGTGTTTACTATTGTGCATTGCCATAAAAGTAGGGGCAATCTCAAATTTCCAGCACATACACTATTAGCCATCATTTTCTTTCTTTCCATTTAGACATTTTAGCTAGCTAAATTTTTCTTTTATTTCCAGATCGCTGCAGTTTCCGACGTCCCGATGGTGTTCGGCTGGAACGGTAGTAAAAGAGAAAAGATGGAAAAACCAACAAGTCTTCCGTTGCATTACGAAGTTGAGGCCGACTGTTCGACACCCAGGAGAGCTGAGTAAGTTGAAGAGTTTTGTTAGATCAATTAACCTTCAAATTATGATAGTTTTTTTTTTCTTTTCTTTCGTCGATTACAATCCTTAGCTTTCAAAATAATCACTGATACTGATGGATGATATTTTTAAATAAATAGAGATAGAAAATGTTGGGTTATGAAAAGCTTTTCGTTCTTAAGGTACTCTGGTCGTGATTTCGAAAACATCTCTTATCATGGATAATCAGTTTCCGTCTGCTACCCGGAGACCCTAATTAATAGTTCATGAGAAACAGGTTATTCTCCTTTTTTAAATTTCAGATTCTCCATCAACCCCGATGACGACACTTCATCAGAAGATCCTACAACCCAGTCCACTTCCTCCTCAGCCGAAGAAGGCGTTCTTCAGCAATCACTCCTCCAACTCCAAAAACAACTCCGTAAAACGGATGTCCGTTGCTCTCGTCTTGAAAAGATTTGCGAATTCCAACAGGTACTTGGTCTTTTCAATCCCTATTTTGAAAAAAAAAAAAACAAAGTCACCCAACCAATTGGCCCCTCTCAAAAACACTAAGTGACCCGTGACCCATGAATACAATGGAAAGTATGTGGTTGAGATGGAGGAAGTATAAACGTATGAGAGAGGGAAGAAAGATGGTTTTTACAATAGGTGGCAATATAAGTTTGCACATACAAACACTCTCAAATACCTTCGGCCCCGTCTAATTACACCAGGGGCTATCTAGAAGTGAAATTAGACGGTGTAAAGGAGAATCGGTTTTTTGAAGTAGAATATAGCGGCTTATGAACATGAGTACTAGGTTCTACTATGTACGAAAATGTGATTTCATCTTGTTCTGATGTTCTAAAAATGATTTTTGGTACGGTACTAGTTAGCAGAAATGTCCGGAGTGACTTTTTTGAGAAACAGAATTCGGATAATAAATAAATTTTCTCGGAATCTGAATCCGAGAATCCGTAAGCTGGAATTCCGGACCTCTCTGGCGTATAAAACCGAAATCAAAATCTAGAATGATCCCCAATTTGTGTCATGCTCATTTTACTAATTGTCAAATTTTGTTCCTCTTGTGTTGCGTGAAGTGGATGAGCCAACACAGTCCCCTCTGAGCAGAGGTACTTGTTACCCCTAACGATCTTTTCTCTTGTGCTGATGTAAGGACGAACACAAACCGATTTCCGATACACTGTTCACTCCTTTCCGACGACAATGCTCAACACACTTGGCAAACAAGAAAATCGTCGTTTTTCATGAATAGAGAAGTTTATTTATTACCGATTATGAACATAAAAAGTGTTTGCATTTACCAACTGAAGGACGGCGCCAGATAATAGAAGATCGAAAATCTAGGGTATTACTGTACTGAGAATTCGTCCCTTTTCTTATTTTGACGCTACACGGAATCCAATCCTTTTTCAAAATTGTAACACACCACTTCCGGTTTCGAATTATTTCACGGTCCATTGAGAGTTGACACCTGAATCACAGACATCCCCAATAGCCGCCTCGTTCCCTTCTTTTTTTCCATCTAAAGTCATGCACAAATATTGAGAAGACGGCTTGTCGTCTCCCGACGCATTTCCGGAGTGTAGAATAGAGAAGATCACGGATTATTTGCATATACACACAGACATAAACTTCCTTTCCCATCTCTTGACCACCAGTTTAAAAGTCAATTGATTCTTACAGCGTGACATCGACAGCCTCCGTTTCGAGGTCGACTGGAAAGACAAACGAATCGAATATCTACAGAAGACGTTGCAGGAAATGGAATCCTCATCGCAAGCTGATGCCTCAACGGCAAGATCTACATCCACGTCATAATAATCATTATTAGGTGCTGCCATGTTTTTATCTCATGTTTTTTTTTCTTTTCACACATCTGTAACATATTTCCTGCAGAGCTTCTCTTTCCCAAAAATTTGTCTACTTCATTCCAAACACCAAACCTCTCGCTCGCTTAACTCTTTCGCTTACGGCTTCTTGAAAATTACTTACGATAACAACAACAACAACGAATTCAAAACCAATAAATTAGTATTATGTAATTTTTTAATCAAATTGAAAAAGCGAACACAGTGTTCTTTAAGATTGGAATGTTGGGGAGTGTTCTCTGGGTGGGAGGCTAACAAAAAAGGGAAGGAACTTTTAGTATTGAAGGAAATCACAGAAAATTTCAGTTTGGGGGCTTTCATGATCATGTTTATTTACAGGGGAAGAAAATTATTTGGGAGCGGGTGTATGGATGAGAAAGAGATATGACAATTCGAAAAGCCACAGTGGCCTTCAGAAACGACAAAAAATAGGAGAAATAGTATGCGAGTAATAGAGATCCGAACGGATTTTTGGTGAATTTTGGGTGGGGGGAAACAGAAAAGGGAAGTAAACATGACAAAAGAAAAGAGTGGGATATTTTGTTGATAGCATCATCTAAACAGAATCTTCTTCTTCTTCGTTCTACGTGAGATGAGCGCGGGTGTATGTTGGTGGAGGTGGAGGTGGTGGTGGCTGTGGTGCAGCACAAGAAGAAGAGGAAGGAGTAGAAGAAGAAGTATTGGTAGTAGTAGATGTGTTGTGCAGATGGTGATGAAGTGGAAAGTGGTGTTGGTGGTGCGCGTCCCAAACTGAAATTTTTTTGAATTCGATTCGAGTAACCCGTACCGGATGATGATAAGACAATGGGGTAGAGAGAAGGGAAAAAGGGATCTAGTTCCAGTTGAAAGACATTATGTTATTAATATTATTATTGTTTTATACATATTATCGCAGATTTGGTGTAGTTTTGGCGAGTGAACTGTTGTGCTTTTAGGGGATAACTCGTTTGGTTGTTCTAATCACAAGCTTGAACGGCTGTATATCAGGAAATGTGCTCTATTGAGTATTCTCAATGTCAGTATGATTCTAAAACTTGGATATATACTTCTAAACCTGTTACGTGCGTACGTGTTAAGTGTCACATACACAATAAGTCATACATTTGCAGCAAAAAATTTGGTGGAGGTGTTTGAAAAAAAAGAGTAAACGGTGTTGGGGAAATTTGAAATTGTATAGGAAGGATATGGTATATATGGTATATATAGATATATAAGTTACAACATACACAAGAAGAGAGAAAATTCTCTCTATCCATTCACATCAGCCATCTTGTTTCGTGCGTATTCTATACGAAGACCACCACGATCGTTAGCCGACACCTGGAATCCCTGAAGAGCCAACATCGCCTGTGTGGCTTTCTGGAGGTCCGAATACTCGACGAAAGCGACACACGATCCGTTTTTGTTGTGCAAGCGAAGACGTGTGAAACCGGTGAACGCCTTGAACACGCCACGAAGCTGATCCTCGTTCACCTCAGCGGATAAATTGGCGACGAAAAGGGTAGAGCACGCGGACGTTGAAGCTTGTGGTTGAGCACTGAGTCCTGCTGAAATTATCTGGATGGAGGAAAGAAGAATTTTTTGGTTTAGCCGAAAAAATGGACTGAAAGGACTCAACACAAAGGAAATAGACTAAACTGATAGGTTGATGTGTGTGAGATTGGGTGAGAAATGGGAGGTGTGGTGATAGTGGGTGTGTGGATAGCGAATACAAAAACATAAAGTGGTGGTTTCGTGATGGTAGTAGTTGTGACTGGTTACTGTATTTTCGGTGTTTTATTTGGTTTTTTTCCAATCCCTCAATTTCGCCCATTTTTCTTACCTGCTGCAGCAGCTGCCGGATGCAATTGAGCCGCCGCGGCTGCGTACAATGGCTGATTGAATTGTTGCAGTGATGCTGGCATATACGCTTGAAGTGCCTGTGCAGCATGTAAGTGTGGAAGTGAAAGAGCCAAAAGTTGATGCTCATTGAGAAGAGCAGCCGACTGTGGATCGAGGAGCAAATCGGGTTGCATTGGTGCCAAAAACTGTGGGACACCAGCGGCGGCAAGTGCTGATTGTTGTGGTGGAGGCGATTGTTTGGGTCGCGAGACTTTTGTGTTCGATTTGGCAAGTTCTAGTCGAAGGACTTGTGCACATTCGGGATCGAATCGGACTCCTGGAATCAGTTTTTTGTAGGAAGGAAGGAAGGGAAGAGGGACAGAGAGGAAAGAGAAAATATGGGAATATTTTGTTGAGTGGAAAAATGGAAGATTGCATTTTGTGGGAAAGTATACTGTGGATGTATTTTTTGGGATGTGAAAATATGGCAGATTTGATTGGATATGTTGTGGATCAAATTGTGTATAATTTCTATTTGGGTGTGACGAATGAGGCTAAACATTTTAATTTTAATTTGCTTCAAAAAGAAAATCAAGTTTACCACAAAAGTAGAAACGTTTTGGATGCGCAACTAAACTTCAAGCTGAAATCTGAAAGTTACAGTACCCACCTTGTAACATTTTCCTAGCGTCCTGCGCATCCTGTTGTGTCAGGAAAGTCACAAATCCCACTGGTGACGTCGGTTTTCCGTTTTTCGACGTCATTTTCAGAAGCGCTCCCTCATACCCACGACACCCGCGGAATAAAAGATACAGCTCCCGTGGTTTAGCATCCATCGGAAGACCCGAAACGAACAAAGTGCGGACCTGTGATGGATTCGTTGCTTCCGAAGAAACACTATTCAACGATTCCATCGAAACGGCCGGCGCCAGGTTCGGCTTCGGGCCGTCCATCTTCCGTTTGCGGCTGATTTCAATCGTTATGGCTGGAAAAAAGATTGTATAGGAGGTGTGTGAACGGGAAGAGAAGAGGAAAACGAATGAAAAAACATATTGAAAGTTGGACCGGAAATAAGTGGAAAAGGGGTTGACTGGGCAGAAGAGAAGGGGAGGTGCTAAAGAAGACGTATTCATAACATGAGAATCATCATTCATCCATTCCATCCGAATTCAATTCGGGGACTCGGGACGGCGTCGCAAAAACGCATGTCGAATATTTTGTGTCAAATGAAGGAGGGAGAGAGTGAGTTGAGAGGGACACAAATTGAGCGGAAGACGTTGAGAAAAATAAGAAAAAGAAGGGAAATAGAGAAAAGGAGAGGCTTTGGCTGCCTAGCAACCAAGGAGCTATGTGCTTTTATGAAGAGAGAGCAAAGGAAGGCAATGAGGAAGAAGGCGGAAAGGAAGGAAAAGATTGAGATGTGACATGACATTGTGATATAAGCAGCATATCGATTGTATTCGTAATTAGGGATAGAAAAGATGTAGCGAGTTTTAGAAAGAGAGGAAAATGGGTTCACTGAGAGCATGTTCTGGATTATAATGAGTATTTCTGGTAGATGGACTGTAGAGCAGAATTAATGGTTTTTTCATATATACAAGCATGTTAAATGAACAAAATAAATGTTTAATTACAACCGAGAAGATAATTTACACAGGTAAGAGGCACTACTGAAAGTTGGCAGCCGAAGGAGGACTGACGGACTGCCGACGGACCATCAGAACTCCTTGGAAAACGAATTGTTGGATTTTAAATGAATCGTTGAAATTTAAGAATAAGTAGAAAATCAGAATAATTCGGAAAATAACTTCCCAGTTGAAAAGTTTGAAGTGTAGCTTCACAACTATGTATTGGAAATACAGTAATCTGGAAAGGAATGAAAAATATTCACAATAGTTCGCCTTCCTATAAAATCCCAAATACTAGAAAACGAAATTCGAAATTTTGAGACCACCCTTCATTTATTTCCTTCTTTTCAAGGTTTTTTGCCTAAACAGTTCTTAATCCTTTCACTCCGTTTTGGTAGTTTTCCCATTATTCTTCCTTTGGAGAACACAAATAAACAAGACACTCCTACTTCTACCATAAAAAAATCCTACAATCCATCCGAAGAATACAATGAATAAGGAGAAGAAGAAGACCACCCCAGAAGATTGGATGGACAAAAAAGACCGAAAAAAAACTATTGTAAGGGCGTTGGGTGAGAAAAAGAAGAAAATGACTGATAAGAATAAGAAGAAGAAGAAGAAAACACGACACGATGGGAACAGTCATTGACAAGATAATGATAATGAGAACATGGACGAAAAAAAATCAGAAGACGTAAAAAGATGTTAGAATGGGAGGCGGGATGGAAAGTTTTAAATGCCACCTGGAAGGAAGAAAAGGAAAATTGGCGACCTTCATATGGGAAATAGAAAAAAGTGGTGGAAAAAGGGAAACAAGAAGTGAAAAGTGGTGAAAAACGAGAAGCCGTTTTACCTCCTCTTTTTAACTTCCTTTCTCTCTCTCTCTCTCTCTCTCTCTTTTCAATTCTTCCACCAACACGTTCCAACCAATTAATTGGTCTCTGTTTCCTCTCGACTTTAGTTAAAATTCAGTTTAAATTCATTTTAAAAACTCGAATGGCCTAGGTGGCCGAAAAACAAACAGTGTAGCAAAAAAGTTCGGCCACCTTGTGAGAGCTCCGGAGAGCTCTCGGGGTGGAAAATGTCATAAATAGAGATAGCATTGTAAAAAGAGAGGGTGGAAAGAAAAAGAGAAGAATTACATTTCAAGCAAAGGCAAGAAGGGTGGAGCATCCGCTTTTTTTTTGCAATTTGAGAGTACTTATCTGTTGTGTTGTATTCGGAATAAAAGTTTGTGTTAGACGTGAGAAAAAAATTTTTGATAGGGTTTTCTTTTCTGATAACAGTTTCGGAATTTTTGAGCTATTAGCAGACTTTCATCGATTGTACAAAAATATAATGAAAACTTCCTCCCACCAAAACTATTTTTAATTGTGTGAGAGACAGCAGCGCTCTGAATTTCAAGTGGTTCAGTGGAAATAGAATCCATTTTTTCTCCTTTTTTCCTTTCTTTCCCCATTAAACTCATCAAAATAGGAGAAGATGAGAAACTGGGAAACTTTGTGATGGTCATGAGATAATTTTTCAGAATTAAAAGTTTGATAAAAGAACAAAGTTTCAGAAATATCCAGGAAAAAAATGAGATTTCGTAGCGATCTGAATCCCGTATTTATAAAAATTCCAAAATCCGAATAGACAGAAAAACCAGAAATCAAACTTTTCAATTTTTTTCAACTTGGTAAAAGGACGAAAATAAGTCTATAGGTGACATCTCTATTAGCACCATGGGTATGAAGGAATTAGCAGTTTAAATGTATGTGATGGTTCTTCAAAAATCCAAAAAAAGGTTACCAAGAAAAAAAATTAATGAAAAATCAGGAAACTTTTCGAAAAACACACAGATAACGATATTAGTGCTTTTGTCCTTTTTTGGTTCATTTAACTGGAACTAATTAGAAATCGAATTGATCTTTCTCGACCACATTTTCTTGTTGCAGAATCAAGAAAAAGGAAAAGAAGAGAAAATACACAATAAATCAATTTGACGATATTACTATAAAGATCTTGTTGGGTGGGTGGAACACAGTTTTGGGATAATCTTGACAAATCTGTTAGGGAAATACAATTTTTGAAAAAAAAATAACAAGAAAAGTCGTCTGAACGTTCAGATTTTCAATGATCACCGTTAATCCTAAAAACTAGTGGACAAAAGATTTCAAATGGACGTGTTGGAGAAGAGAGGATCAGAGAAAACCATCGGAATTGTTGGGTGAGAGAGGTAGTAATGTCGACTGTTGGGGTTGGGAAAAAAGAGGGAAGGATAGGCGGGACTGTTGTACTACTGGTCCACACACACTCCGTCTCTTTCTCAGATGACGTACAACATCAGCAGCAGCAAGGGAGAGGTAAAAAGGACGTCGCCTCGATAGAAAATGACAGTCCATGAGTAGGTGGGGAGAGTAAGTGAGTGTGCGTCTTTAGTCCAAGGTTGTTCTGCCATTCTGAGAGAAAGAAATGACAAAAGAGATGAATCGGAGGATGTATATAGATTCTGGATATGTATGGATGGATGGATGGATGGATAGATGAGATATATAGTACAGTAGAACACTAGGATTCTTGTGTATTGATGGTCATCGAGGATATATCCTTATAATCAAGTTTTGATGTAATGAAATAGTATTAGATGCGAGTAGCTGTCGTTGAGAAGGTCCAGTTGAAAACCGCTACAAATCCATTTCCGGTCCTTTTTTGAATTTTCAAAAGGTCTCGAAACATTTCCGGTCTAACCCCAATCTTTGCACTATTTAATAGTCTGGAACTACGACAATTTCAAGATCTATTTGCACAAAACCTCTTTAAAGTGGAGCAGATTAGGGCATCATAGCGCAATTTCCAACCTATTTCTCACGTCACTCTGTTTTGTTAAGAGATTAACTGAAGAGAGAATAACCATAACTTTTTGTTTGACCTGTTGGTAAATCTGGATCAAGCGGATTTTCGTTGTATTGAACACCGACGATTAAGTATGTTCATTGAAGTGTTTTGAAAATTTTGAAAAATCGAATTTCATAAATTTTATAGATTTTTTAAACCTGAAACTCTAATAGAAGGCCACTCGAATCGCCAACTTTAAGCCTGTGTATCTCGGTTCCTGTGAAAGATATCAAAAAGTAATCAACTTACAAAAAGTTAATGATAATATCACAAATGTTTTTTCAGTTGACCACTTTTCGATATCTTTTACAGGATTCGAGTTATATAAGCTCGAAGTGTGCGGCTTGGGTGACCTTCTATTAGAATATTTACGGTATCCTTTATGTTACTGCAGAAACGAATGAAATTTTTCAAAAGCTAGGCTACATAGCCCAATACTAAAAGAAGTATTGAAATGGCTTTTACCAAACAACATTTTAAAAATCTACAGTATTCCAAGGGTTACTGTAGTTTGTTGAGGTAGACTGGTCAGCATGTGAAGTGTCAAGATCTTTTGTGAAAAGAAAGGAAATGAGTTAAAATAATAATAATAATACGGGGCTGAGAATGAGACAAGACTTGTTCACATTCATTCTTCTCCGGTCGCCCTGCCTACCTCAAAGGTACACATTACGTTGAGAGTGAAAGAGGTACGCACCCATTTCTTCTTCTCATTCTCTCAAATTGGACAACATACTCCCCAGGCAGATTGAAAAAGAAGAAGAAGATGAAATCTTGAGAAAGACATCATCAATAATACAGGCGCGGGCGATGGGTCCGACAGATTTAGTGGGCGATGATGATGATGACAGACAGTCACCTCCTCCCTGGGAGGTACTCTCGCGCCCGCCTCTGGCGCCCCATTCTCTTTCTCAAAGTCTCTCTGGATTTGTACAGTAAATGTGAATCTTTTTTGTGTCTCGTTATGCGTGAATTGTTGGGCCTACAAGGTGGTATTTCTCGAGTGTGGCGTCGGCAAGAAGAAGAAGGCCGCCCGGTTTTATGTGTGTATTTGTACGTACGTGTGTGTGTTTCTTTTGAACACGCATAGGTAGGAAAGGACCGGAGGGCAAGTTTTGACAGATGAGATTCGGAAAAGAGACAAACAAATGTTCGAATCCAGGAGATTGTTGTACTTGACCTACTCGACGGGAAAATAGGGAAGAGCTTTTGAAGTAGGTGGAAATGAGTTCAAGAATCGAAACAAGGATGTCAGGAATGTCTGAAGTTCTCTTCTCTGGTAATTACGAGAAATTCCATTATCTAGACCAACATGGAGCTATAAATCTTCTTAATCACCGCCTAAGCGCCCACCTTTTGATCAGTTAAAAACGGGTTCTAGGGTTACGGTAGCTTTCATCTTCAACGGAAAACGTTTACCTCTAAAAATTCCCTAATGTACTTTCATTCATAGACATGTGATAAGATAAAACCTAGAATCCTAAACCCTCTCTTTCTCCAAATGTTGCCTTCAGAAAATCCGAATAGTTCGGAGATGTTTGATCGATCATCCCTCATCCGACCACTCCCTCTATACGGGAATCAGAATCAGAAATAGGAAAATAGAACAATTGAGCGGAAGGAAAACATAATGCAACATTATGCAAACTAGGCAATTTTCTTTCAACTTCTTTTGACTTGCATGACCCCACCAAAAGTAATTTATACAGTAATCCGAAAGAAGGAATTTTGTTTCTTTGAAAAGTAGGATTTAGTTTAGATTTCATGGCTTTATAGGAGGAAAATTGAGACTAACAGAGTTAGAAAGTGAGTTAAAGTGGATCAGAAGAGAATACGGTATCTGAAAGGTTGGATAAGGAGTGGGTTCGAAAAATGGATAGTAATATTGGAAATTGAACTAATTGTAAGGAAGTTGGAGTGTTGAAATGTTCAGTGAATAATTGACAAAGTTGGGCTCCTGGTGAAGAGTTTCAAAGTTTTTAAATTTTATAAAAATCCTGAAATGATAAAAGACGATGAGAGTTTCATCAGAATGTTTTACATATACATTAGAAAACATTAGAACCAAGAAAATGTTATCGCTGTGAAAAAACAAATAATTCAACTGTCTACCGTAAAACCTGTAATAGAAGAACCCATTAAAATTTAATTTCGAGCCCATATATCTAATTTCCTCTAAGAGATATTGAACAAATGGTCAACTAACAAAATATTTTCAAAATTTGATAAACATTTTGTTAGTTGACTGCTTTTGGATACCTTTCACAGAAATCGAGATAATTGAGCTCAAATTTGACAGTCTGGGAGTCACTTCTATTAAAGATTTTACGGTATCTCATTTAGGCAAGTTTGTACAGAAACTCTTTGTTTTTTGAGTGAAAAAAAAGAAGGTTTAAAATCCCATAATATAAGATGCCCAGTGACCTACAATCGCGAAGGGAAAGTAATAAAACAATAGGTTATCGGTCAAATAAGACATGAATAATCTAAATAAGCAATCTAATCTGATTGAATGGTGTAGAGCTATACTCAAAAAAAAACCATATCTCGGAAAAAAGGACATTCATCGAGAAAGAGAATAAGAAAGGGACTGAAGAGTCAAGATACACGACGACAAGATAACAAGATAAACTCAAGTGTGCACACACTTACTTCACACTTTTTCTATCACTTGAGAGAGGAAGAAGAATAACAGACAACGACGGAAAAAAGAGCACTTCCATAAAAGTTTGTTCTCCCATTTTTTTCTACCTCTGCCTGTCTGAACTCTATTGGTTTTGCTGGATCTCTCTAGTCACTCTCACTCAAATATTTACCAAAAGGTACCAATAACCAATGAATCCTGACTCACTTCTTCTTCTTCTCCTTCTTCATCGTCAAATTTTCCATGAAAAGGCCCGAGAGGAAGAATCAGTTAAAGGAGAACTTGTCCGGGTTTTCTTCCGGAAGAGAACATTTGTGTGGTTGGTATACCCAGGTACAAATAAACAACCAGACCCTCCTCTTTCCACAATTGAGGTGTGAATGAGAGAAAAGAGAAAAGAGAGAAAGAGCAAGATGCTCGGCCCCACCACTACCACCAGAGCAGGCGGCCAGTGGGAGCTATGGGTTTTTCAAAGGTAAAATGGGGGAGGAATAGAGAGAGCATTGGAATTGAAGAGACGCAGAGACAGAGGCATGAAGCATTGTCCCCTTTTGTGTGGAACAAAAAAGTGATTGAGCAGGTGGGAAGCAGAGAGAAAATGAGAGAAAATTTGGGATTTTCCAAGTTTCGAGAGAACAATTCTATAAAATTTAAAAAAATTTCCGTCTAGGAGTGTTACGGTATTGACTAGGATTCAGATGAAGGAGTACCTTCTTTACAACTGAATTTTTTCTGGAATAGATCAAATAATTGCATAATGGGGGGTCAAACGAAAACTTATCGAGAAGAAGAAGATCTTCAACATACACAGATACGATCTTTACATTAATTTTCCGAACGTTTCTCAATTTCCCTCATTCCGGGGAATTCTGACAGTAGGTCAGCAGGTCTCTAGGAGAACTTTTGATTTCTGGTATTTCAATTTGAAGGTTTTCTTAATTGAAGGAGAACTTCACCGAAATCTGTGTATCCTGGATCCTAAGATTTCCAGAATCTTACCTTCCCAAAATAATAAACTTTCAAAGCTAAAAATCACACATGAAAAAACAACTATGGGATTCTCATTCTCTTTCCTAGTCTTTGAGATTTATTTATACCTAAATTCCCAGGGTTGAAAAATTTTGATCACGCCTACTTGGATTATAATTTTTCAAATGAGCTCGAAGATTCTTTCCAAGATTGGAATAAAAATCCGGTCGCTGTCCAAAATAACACTTCTCTTCATCCATCTCCCACTTTTGTATTCGGAAGTAGAAGACGTCGGGTCGGAGTTGTCCCTGGAAACGAGAATACATTTGTCATTCTTCTCACATGAATTTGAAAACAGAGACAACGAAAAAAGAGAGAAAGAGCTCATTATTATTAAACAAGTGCTCCTCATCCGGGAGACATGGATAAATGGGTGGACGGATCACAAATGGAAAACTTTGTGTTGAAAGAAGAAGAAGGAATCGGGGTGGGCCAGTTAGAAGTGGAAGAAGAGGGACATAAAATGCGAAAGAACGTTTGTGTTATGAATCATACTTTTTTCAAGGAAAACGGCCTGGTACTTCAGGTCAACTGTTCTGCATTCGAAAGTTTTGGGAGGAAAGAAGAGTAACGAAAAAGAAGGTATGGAAAGTGAAAGTACGGTAAGAAATGGGATGAAGAAGGAACAGAAGTTGGAGGAGTTCTAACTAAAAAAATAAATATCATTTCAGGTTGAACGTAATTCAAAACTCGGAAAAAGTACTTTTCAAATAATAGAAGAGTCAGTAATTTAGATTATGATTTGAGTTTGGCTCTAGCGAATTTAGTCGGAACTCTAGTAAGATTCCAGGAGGAATTGAGACATCGGATTCGACCATTTTCATCGTCCTTCTTTGCCTTTTCATACCCCCTGAGACTTGTCGGTTTTTTCCTTGTATTGAAATTCAATCCTACCATAATTTACGCTGTCATATTCCTTCTTCAGGGATTTAGTTGAAAATTATAGGTTTCGCCACGTGTCACAACGCATCAAAGTTTGAAAATGATGAGTGGTTTCAAAACTAGAGTTTTATAAATTGTGACACAATATGCATAATTTTTGTATATTGGGAAAACGTTTAAGGAAGCTTTTAGATTGCCAAAACGCTTGAATCGGAATGAAAGTGATTTTGGGTTTATGTGTGAGTGGAAAGTGCAAATTTGCAAAACCAAGTGTCAATTCCAGTTAGAAAAGTACAACAATGATTACCTGCTTCTACTTTTGATCCAGTGACAAAACCTCTACATTTTCTCGATTCCAAAAAGGAGTTTCAGATATCATTCAACTTTTTCGCCTAGGAAAGTAGGAAAAAGTATACTTGGAGCTTCCATGTTTTTGATCTTTCTTTTCCTCATCTCTGTCCCATAACACTCGATTTTACGATGTTTTTTTTTCGGTGGTCTTCATCATGCCGAACGTTTGAGGAAGTTTTTCTCTGAAATAAGTTGCCATCTCAGATGGCCCATCTGAATAACATCTTAATAACATCTGAATTCATTAATTCATCTAAACACTTAAATTAGTTGTCCAATTGTTAGGTGTCTCATCTCAATTAGCTGGAGAGTAAATAAAAAAGTACAAAAGAAAAATAAGAAGACTGGAATTTTTTGGGGGAAGAAGAAAAAGAAGAAGAAGAAGAAGAAGTCGTTGGAAGCAGAAGACGACGACATTAAGTATGTATGAGAAGAAGAAGACGCGTTGCTACTTTATTATTTATAATAATCGCTCTTGTTCATACATTTTTGAACGGTTTGGTGTAAAAAGAAGAGACGAAGCATCGAGAATTCGGAGAGAGGGGTCCGTGAGGATTCTTGATCAGAAGAAGATGATGAGAATCCGCCTGGATTACTAATTTCGAGAAGGAAAGGACATTGCTGGGGGAAAAAAAACTTCAAGATTCTGAGAATTCGACTCCGAAAGAATTCAAAATGATATCCGTTATCCTTTTCTTTTCGCGAGATTATACTTGAAACGAATTGGATGGCTAGTTGAAAACGGGATTCGAGGCGTCAAACTCGTTGCAATCCAATTATGACTACTATTGGAATCTGGACGCCATAGGGATTATACGGCTTGGAACTTGGAAAAAAAAGGAGAATAAGAAATGAAAAAAAGAAAAGGAAATTAGAAGACGAAAGATTTGAAATTAGAGGGAGGGGATAAGGATACGAAATGGAACAGACGGATCCAAGGAGTCTAAAACTTTCAATTTGGGAGAATTGTATGAATAGTACTGAAGGTTAATATTTAGTCAATGAAGGGCTAGGAGACTTTTCTACAAAAAGATTCTACGGGAGGGGTCTTCAACTTGGAAAAATTGAAAAAAAAATTTGGAAATCGTCAGAGGATTTGAAAAATAGACAAACTACAAATGACTAGAAAACAAAACTGTTTGGAATGAACTGAATTGCTTCCAAAAACTCATACTGAATTTTCTAGACTTAAAAATTAAATAGTTTTATTGTCCATCAATTTGAAATTATGTCTGCTTCGGGTCAAGAGCCAAAAGTCGTTCAAAAAAAGACCTCGATGAATTTTGAATTAACCTCAAGACACTAAATGAATGTCTATGGAAAAGAGTCGAAATTCAACAAAAAATACACTGAAGAAGCTGACGATTAGGTCATTTAGATTTCCTTGTTAAGATTGTTTCGGAAAGTTTAAAGGGGGACTCAGGCACAATTGTTTGTATTTTTGCATTAAAATGTTCCATAATTGTGTATTTTCATAATATTACTTCAAACAAATTATTTAAGAAAAAAAATTCGAGATCAAAAATGCAAGAGATCGTGCTAGTTTTTTCGTGCATTTTCTCAGCCATTTGTGACAGTGGCCTTGGACTAGGATTCCCGCGATCCTCTTGGGCGAAAACTGAGCGCGCTTTTATTTTCGACGACGTTTTCAGGGATTATCACGCTGTTTCAGAGAGCCTGGTCGAAAAAAGCTCCCCCAGCGAACCTCGAAATCTCGCTGAATTTGCTGCGGAACTTTGTTGGCTGAGGATCAAAGTTTTAAACGATGAGCGAAAAAAGTATTGATTTGATCTATTAATAACGAATAGATCAAATCTGCGTTCACTTCAAAATCATAAACTTTTTCTGGCCTACAAGTTCGCTGGGGCGCGTTTTCCGACCAGGCTTCCTGAAACACCGTGGATTATGAATTGCAATTTCTTGGACCTGAAAATTGATAGATCAAAAACTGCGTTTTATCTTGCCTAGTGGCAATTATTGTGACAATTCCAGAGTGTAAACTCTCTCCAAACGTCTTGAGAGAGCTCATGAAGCATTGGGTCAAATGAGAGATAAATAGAGAGAAAGTGTTCTTGTTCTCACTTCTCTCGAGTACTAGTTACTACTATCAAGATCTACTTTCTCTCTCTCTCTCTCTCTCTCTCTCTCTCTCTCTCTCTCTCTCTCTCTCTCTCTCTCTCTCTCTCTCTTTCTTCTCACCAGATGACCCACCGATCCATTAATCTCATCCTTTTATCTCTTGCCATTCCACAAAAAGAAACGATTAGAAATGGAGGATTTAGAGAAGAAAAGAGAATTAATTATGAGATTTGGACGAGAAATTTGAAACTTGATTTCGAGTTTTGTGATAAAAGCCTCTTCTGTTGGATTAATTATGCTTTTCGAACAAGTTTTGTTTTTACCAGAATAGCAATATTCTAAAATTCGTATAATTTTATTTCAGGATCTAAGATCGGAATCTTGGAAATTTAGAAACGATTCAGAAATTCCTCATTCGGATGCTCGGTAACTTCGGAATTTAAAATTTTGAAAATCAAGAGATTCAGAGTTTTGAAAATTTGAAAGTTAAGTAAGATATTTGGAAGTTTTAGAAAAATCAAAAATACACATTTTCAAAATCTTTAATGTTGAAATGTAGAAAAGTGCTTCAATTCCAAACCTCCAGATTTTTCTGATTTTCTGAATCCCGGAATTTTGTAAATTCTCAAGTTTTCGAGTTATCTAACTTCCGAATCTCCGAAATTTGGAGTGTCTGAGCTTCTGGAATTTCGAAATTCCAGTATTCCGAATTTTGAAAATTCTGAATTTAAGAAATTTCTTTAACATTTGAGAAAGTCTGAACTCGGACATTTAATTTCGATTTTTCGGCATTTCGAAAACTCTAGAACTCCAAACTTTATCTTTAGGTAATATCTGTGTTTCCCAATATCAATTTTCAGCGTTTTCAAAACAAATTGAAAACTTGTATTCTTCTCATTATTAAATGCTTTTTAGGTACGAAAGGAGAGTTACGCTTTAAAAATCGCTGTAATATTCCAAAAAAAAACTTCAAAAACAAACAAAAACTCTCGACAAAAAATCCCGACAGCAAAAGAATCTTCCATATCTTTGAAGATAATTATTCTTTGAGAGACAATAGAGAGAGTGAATATTTTTGGGCAAAAGAAAATGAGAAGAATGAGAAAAAGAGGAAAAGCAGTAGATGAAGAGAAAAAAGAAGACAATTTTCAGAACACAACAAATAGAGTCGTACTGGCAGAGAGAAACGAAAAAGGGGGAGCGGAAAGAGGCCATAAGCCCAAAAACTAACAATGAATGGAAGATGAAATGGAGGAAATATGAACAAAAAGAAGAAGTTAAGAAATGAATATGTTTTCAATGTTGTATTCCAAACTTTTGACTGAAATTCGACAGTTTTGAAACCCTTGATTTCAAAATTTCTTGAAGGTTTTTTGTTTTTCTAATTTGCAAACAGCTTTTTGTTTCTTCTGAACTCTGTGTATTTGAATAGTTGTCTATGTTGACATTTTGCACATTCACGTGATGTAACTAAATTCTTTTTTCGGAAACTTTGAAAGGTGGAGCTTTGGAATAAGGGCAAGCAGCATGTAATTAAAACACTTTTTTTTTTGAAAATTGTGAACAGATTCTACTGTAAAATATAACTGATCAAGGGACATCCTACAAAGACAAAGTAACCAAAATGTTACAATCACTTCATAACAAAAAGGTTGGTCAATGTTTGTTTAGTAGGTGGGAATTGATGAAAAAAGGGTCTTCCAAAGGTGAGAGAATGATTCATGATAACCGTCTTGGAAGTGTCACTTTGATAAGAGCTTGAGAAGGAATGATTGGCATTTGGAAATGTTGAAAGGAGGAGTATTCGTTTTCTTTGAATTCGTTTTCTGTGAAGTTCTGTTTTTCAAATAACCACTTTGTTCTCATGATTTTTTCTTTTTTTCCATCTCTGATTCCAAAAAGCCTGTCCAGGAACCACAAAAAACGGAACTACAATAAAAAACAACAGATAAATTTCAAAAACTTTATTGATATAATTTTTTCAGACCACAGTGTTTAATATCAGACATTTAAAAAATATGATAATAAAAATTTAGAACAAAAATTAAAAATTGAAAAAAAATTCTTTTCGCAATTCTGATTTCCGACTTTTCCGATTCTTTTTCCGTAGACGTGGTTCTAACAAAATAATTATTGTGTTCCTTCGGTTGATCTTCATTTTTAAATTTATTTTTGGGTCCAGGTTTAGGGTATTTTTTGGTTGAAGCTGTACAACGTCATAGGACAATAAAATTCTGGAAACAACTCGTCCCAATTTTTTCAATTTCAACTTTTTGTCCTCAATATTTCATTTTCAAAATTATATTCACATTTTTCATTCCCAACTTTTCACATCCATTCACTTCAGCAATAAAGAGAAAAATAACAGCGAAAACCATAGTGTTTACTTTCAGACATTTGTATTTATTTTTTTGTTTGTATCTAGGATTTATTTGATTTTCATAAAGTTTTCCGGGTTAGTGTTTTTAATTTTCAGTTGATTTTTGTATTTTTTAATTCAGCTACTTTTAAATAATTTTTTGATAGGTTATTGTCCGATGATTTTGTGCCTTAAAATACCCTAAACCTGTACCCTTAATGACACCCTAAAATAAAGAACAACCGAAGAACCGCAAGAATCATTTTGTTAGAACCACGACTACGGAAGAAGAATCGAAAAAGTCGGAAATCAGAATTGCGAAAGAAGAACGTCGGAATTGGAAAGAATAACGAATGCCAGAGAGAACGAACGCGCGAAAAACTGAGAAATAAAAGAAAAAATACGGAGTATCGAGTTCTGAAAGTTCACAAATCCGTTGCGCGGCAGCCCACTGACTCGGTATCCATGTGGCGGAATCTCATCGTCATCCTGCTGAAAAATTTTAAATATTTGATGATTTTGTTGATTTCTGTTACCTTTTCAAATACTTGTTTGACTCCTCCAAAATTCCCCCTGGAAGTAGTAGTCAGATGTGCGGAATCCCAACCAAGCTGAACTTTTTAAATTATGGATTCGAAAACATTAACAAAGAAAGTTCATAGAAAGCTCGTAGCGAGTGGATTTTAAATTTACATTTGAAATTTACATTCGTCAAAGTTATTTCTACCTTTTTCTATAACTCGAAATTGTCAAAAACATTGTGATAAATTGTCAGAATTGGCATTGAAAGCTACCCGAAAGTTGTTCTAAAACTGCTTCACTGAAAACGACTAACCTCAATTGCATTCCGTTTTGTTGTTCCAATCCTGGAAATCGGAACCTGGTCGACTTCGTAGACATTGTAGGCTTCGCAGGTATCGTAGACATTGTACACTTCATAGATTTCTGGAACTTACTAGTTATAACTTAAGCTAACTATAACGAACCTTAATTGTAGCCCGATTCTATATTCCATCTTTCGAATCCTGGAAATTGGAGACGCCGACTTCAACGAAATCGTAGACTTCGAAGGCTCCTGAACTTGAACGTTGCAAAATTCATACTAATCATCATCCGTTCTGCTTGATTCTTTAAAAATTTGTCGTCATTTTTATTGAGGTTTTAACGGAGGTCTTTTAGAATTCGTTTTCGAATTTCTGAAAAGTTCACGAAATTTTTGAAAAAAAAGGAAAAATGAATATGTTCAGGAAATTCAAAAAGTTCCTTTTATTGTATTTTTGTTTCAAATTTCAGAAAATTCAAATTGATGTATGTCTCAAGTAAAAAAACATTGAAAAATGAATGAAAGAAATGTAGAAATGCTGGGAAAAAGAAACTGGAGGAATATATTCGAATCTTAGGTTTCAAAATATTATGGTGATTATCAAGAATTCAAAAGAGTAGTTTTTGTGGGGGTTTCAAGGAACAGGTTTCAACAACTACAAACAGGGCACAGGAAAAAGGGATAATAGGATATCATATTATTATTGAATGATTTAGAATCGAAATACTGGAAAATCGCAAATAAGAGAGAACGAAATTAACCATGTTCTTATTGAGACAATTTAGGAATTTTACGGATGTCCGCAGCGTCGGACATAGCGTCGATACTACGTTTCACTGCGGTTCCAAGAGTTGAGTGAACTTTTTTGAATAAAACCTCAAAAATCATTTCTGGATCGGCGTCGATTTGTTGTTGGGCTCCGTCACACAAACTAATGATGTCCTTCTGAAAAACGTCGGGTCGTAATAAACAACTACAAGTACAACTGTATCAAAATGTATGACCGAATAGTTTTCTCTAAACAGTGTGATAGATCTCGGGCATCGCTTGCAACTTCTGATCGGAGGTTGGTCTGATTCCGGATAAGACCCCTCCTAAATCCGACCAAATTTCGTCAAACTTAGGACAAAGTGTGTTCAGTTTTGTAGTGTTTCAACTTTCAACTTCCGACCAAAATCTGACCATGGCCCGCCATACAGCCGTTTTCAGGCAAGTTCCGATCAGAAACTGGCCAATACCCGTTCAAAACCCGAGGATTTTTTTCCCTATTAGTTCCTGATTATTCACAAACAGATTTTAGAGTGGTGAAAAATCTTTCTCATAAAAAATGTGTAGCTTTTCATGACGCCCCTATTAAGAACTTTTGGATCAGTTTGCCTACGAGGTGTTTTAATCTTCTTCCTGGTTTTGTAATATGAAGGAATTACTTGAGATATAAATTGTTGTACCCTTGTTCCCTTGTTCATGAAAAGCGCACAAAGCAATCGATTAGTCGATAGAAATTCGAAAAACAGAGGATTCAGAACTCGAAAAAAAACTAACCAATGCGTTCTCACAAGTTCTCATCAAATTGGAACATACTGCTTTCAGGCTATCATTGTCTTGATTCTTCTTTTTTCTTCCAGATTATTGGCATTACAGTACTTCAGCACATCAGTCATTCGATCCATTTCGTCCATTGTGAGATTCTTTAGGAAAGAAGGTACGTGGTTTTGAGATTCACCGTCACCAACGAATAGGTTGACATTCATATTGCTACCCACGACATTCAAGCTCTTGTGCACAAATATATTAGCAAGTCGAGCTCCTTGAATTGCAGCTCCTCGTGCAATGGAATGGGTGGAACTCAGACACTTGAATTGCTCTGGTTGACAATATCCAAAAAGCCATCTACGAATTTCATGCATCTGGCTGGCTCCTCCAATCAGAATAACTTCGTCAATCTGTAGAGAATGAGTAAAATTTGAGTAGAAATTTTATTACTCACCTTTTCCTTTCTCGTTGAACTAGAATTTAAAACTTCATTGAAATCATCGATGATCTGCTTATTGAGATGGTATGTGAGTTTGTAAAATTCATATCGTGAAATACTCGAACGGAAATCAATTCCTTCGAAAAGAGCATCAATGGAAATCGAAACTTGGTTTTGTTTCGAAAGTGCGATTTTTACTTTTTCGCATTCCGATCGAAGACGTTGAACAGAATTGGCATCAAAAACAAAGTTGTTCTCATGCTTGCTTTTGATTTCCTCCACAAATTTCCAAACGATTTGGTTCAAATAGTCTTCTCCTCCAATGTTACCTCCACTTGTACCCAACACTGTCAACGTTTCGTTTTCGATTCTTACAAGTCCAAAATCAAAATATCCACCGCCCATATCAAAAACTAACACAATACGAGGTTCCTTCTTCTTCTCCAGATTAGTTCCATAATCGAGAGCACCAAGAATGGAGCTACTGGCGAGGCAACGAACAGAAAGTCCAGCAATCGTTGCTGATTGTTTGATTACTTGACGTTGATAATCGTTAAAGTGAGATGGAATTGAAAGGACTGCATCTTTCACTGATGTTCCTAGATACTTTTCAGCGTCGATTTTGCATTGTTCCAGCATCATAGCTGTCATCACTTCTGGCTTCATAGACAATTTCTCTGCTCGATAGTTGATCTGGCCTTCTGGTCGAACATTCCAGATGACGTTATTCCGATAGATGTTCCGATAGCATGGATCAGGTCTATAATAACAATTCGGTGGTAGTGGTGGCTTTTCCTTGATAAGACGCTTGAAACCTGAAATGAATATTCATCCTTGCACGGACAAATGACTTTAGTGCTCACCAATTAATGTGTTCTCTGCGTTCTCCAGAATTTGGTCTTTTGCATTTTTTCCTATCAATCGCAGTGTATCAGTGAATGCGAGGCACGTAGGAGTGTTCATTTCATTGTGTTCGTTTGGAATCAAATGTGTAGTCCCATCCTTGACGACGGCAACACAGCATTTCGTAGTTCCAAAATCAATACCAATGATGGGAGAATGCATTCTCTATAAAAAATCTTGAATTATTAAATTGATCACCTGAATGCGACAAAATATGATCCTACAGTATGATTTGTGAGTCCAAACTGTAAGAGTCAATAAAACTTTAGGAAGCAAAGAGTAATCGTTACAATCGGGTCATAAAAGAATCGGGTAAGTGTCATCAATTATCGAAAAAATGTATGCACATGATCAACTGGTGTATAAGAGATGAGGAGAGTGTGATGAGGGACGGGATGACGACGGTCTAACTGTTAAGTGAGAGAGTGTTAGAGAAAAGTGTGCCAAAGGAAAGAGACTAAAACCTGTACCATAATTTTTTTTCATACTAATAATGAATGATACTTAGTCTTTTCGGTTCGTTTTGGCAATATTGGTTCGAATAGGTAATTAAAGATGTTGAGCGTCGCCGGCAACTTCTGGTCGGATGCGGGTCAGATTCCGCAAAAGAGCGCTACTAAACTCGGCCAAACTCCGACAAACTTATGACGAGATTCCGACTTAATCATATTTTCACTTTTAACTTCTGACCAAAATCTGACGATGGCCCGCTATACAGACGCTGTTGGACAAGTTCAGACCAGAACCTGGCCATACTCAGTCCAAAAGCCGAACATCCCGCGCCAGTTTGTCTATTTAAAAAAAGGTATTTAATGGTCCTCCTGGTTTTTCACAAACGTTTCTAATAGTCAAACATGCCTAATAAAGTGGCAGATAGTAAATGGGATACAAAAAGCAGAATTGATACTTAAAGGACAAAAAAGCAATCGATTAAAATTCGAAACTCGAAAGAAAAAAACAACTACGAATACCGTGGGGTGATTCTCAAAGAGTGAGAGATACGAGAGAGAAATGGGAGTGTGCTTGTAGAAAGGAAGGCTTGTAGATGCTGATGGACGGTCCCATGCCTATGCAAGAAACAGAGAAAGATAGAGAGGAGGTGAGAGAGTTGTGAGAAAAACAGATGGGGAGGAATACAGAAATATAGCTCTGACATGATGCAAAGTAGCAAAGTAGTAATAAGATTGTAATAAGAGTGCAATAACAGAAGGCTGACGTCAAGGTATGGCATGAGGTACGGTACAAAGTGCTGACACAACATATAGCGCTGTTGCGATGTTCGTAGTGAATCAATTAGGCGTTATGTATTTGTAAAGCTCCACAAAAACATCAGATTGATTTTTTTTGTTGGTGTAAAACAGATTAGAAATAAAAAATGACAAGGGTTTGATGTATAACCCTAAAAAATAAGCTGAAGTTTTGAAAAACTGCTTCCAAAAAAAACAACCAATTCACCACTGATTTACAATTCTTATTTTATAACTCCTCCTCTTGGCCCTCCAACTTCTCAATGCGGATTGAATGAATAAGAACCATTGGCTAAAATTAGAAACCAGAAGATATTCGTGTAGTTCTGGATCTGGCTATCAAGAAAAAAATATACCACTCATCAGTTCGCAAAAAAACTCATAAAAAGATTATAAGTCAGACTTCTTGCAAAGGCGCAATATGACCCATTTTGTGAAATGGGATTTATCGAATTGTCAAGAAATCAAATAGTTCAGTGTTTCTATTCAGCCAATACTTCTCTCCTTTAAAATAATTCAAAAACCAAAATCGGGTGATAAACAGAACAATTTATAAATTTCGAACAAGACACAAAAAAGAAACACTGTTAAGCATGTTAAAAAAGATGCCCCTAACTTTCACCTAGGAACCAATTTTTCTCGGCTCCTGTCGAAGATATGAAAAGGTTGTCAGCTGATAAATTGTTTATCATTATATGATAAGAGTTTTGTCTGTTGACTACTTTTTGACATCTTGCATAGGAGCCAAGCTAAATTAGCTGAAACTTGACAATGTGGGGCCTTTTTATTACAGGTTTTACGACAGGACAGCTTCTAACCAATTCAAAGTTCTAAGTTGTTGGTTTACAAGAAACTAGAAAAATGAAATTAAAATAAAAATTATCATCTTCAAATATTCAATTTCGTTTTTTGAATTTCCTTTTGCAACTCTTCTATCTCTCTATTTCTCTCATCTCTAATATTGGTTGTCAAGGGAACGACACTATTCGCCTTGGTCATTGCCGCTTCTCTCTGCAGAACTCTTTGTTGAAGTTTCTGGAAGAGAAGAAAAGAATTTGAAGAAGAATGATGATTCTGGAACCTTATTCAACGCATTCAATGTCATAATTTGATCGTGCCATTTTCGTTTCATATTCCGAATTTCTGCGCCTTTTTCAGTTTTTTCGTTTTCAAATCGAACTAAATCCTTCTCGTTGTAGGATTTTAATTGTCTTTTCAGAAAATCTGAACGCCTTCTGAAATAGAAAAAAAATTGAATTTTTTGAAAAAATTCCTACTGTATCCGTTGCAACTCCTCTTTTTGTTCATCTGTTGATCTCTCAAGTTGCTTGATTTTTTCGTACAATTTCTCTTTTTTCTCCAAATATTCCTTTTCCCGTTTTTCATCTTTTGACTCTATTATTATTGAGGGTTGAAGCTTTTTTTCTTCTAAAAACAACATGATTATATTCATCGTTCCATATCAAAACAAACGTCTATTCAGTTCTGAGATTCGTAAATTTTCAGCGTTCCGCAGATTTTGTGCAGCTCGATCAGCGTCTCGTTGACACTCATCCGCTGTTTTTTGAAGACTTTCTTTCTGAAAAATATTGAAATTCAGTCAATACATACTTTGTAAAAATACCGTTAAACCTGTAATAGAAGGGCCCAAACACTGTTATGTTTGAGCTAATTTTTCCTGAATTCTATGCAAGATATCAAAAATGGTAACTTTACCGAGAAAAATTGTAATTTGTAATTAAGTTAGGACCCTTCTATTACAGGTTTTACCGTGAGACATACCTCTTCAATTAATCTAAATTTGCTCATGTGAAGTGCCTCTGATTCTCTTCTCAGCTGTATTATTTGCCTCTTGAGATCCTCTAATCTTCTGCTTTTTTCATTGTATTTTTCTGGATCTTGAGATTTCGAGCGTCTTCTAGATGGTGCTGTTGATCCCTTTGTAGATCTTTTTGCAGAGGGAACTTGTAAGTTCTGAAAATTATTGATTTTCAGAGTCATCAAAAATACTTACTATTTCAGAGTTTCCTAACTTTCCCAGATTCATGCTCTTCAAATTTTGAATTTTCTGATCCAAAACTTCCAAATATTTGCTTCCTTTCGACATCAGAACTTCCAATTCGCCAATTCTTTTTTCACTTGTTTTTCCTCTTCCTTCACTTCTTAAACTGATCAAAAGCTTCTGGAATTCATCTGTTATTCCAGATTCTTCGACTTCAAATATCTTGATTCTTCTCTCAATTTCTTCTTTCTTCGATTCATTTTCCATTTGCCGTCTGAATAAAACTACAATTCCGGAAAAAAAGTAAAAATCTCACTGAATCTCTTTATGAATCTCTTCCTCTACTTTGTCAAAACTTTTCTCGCTTTTCGAAATATCTGCTCGAAGACGGGCGATTTTTTTATCCTGAAAATTTAAGCAGGTTTTCTCAAAAGTCTTTCTGAAAGGACCTGAACAATCTTCTTCTTTTTCATGTCGTCTAATTTTTTCTTGGTTTTCTCCAACTTTGTTTTTATTGAGTTTTCAGTTCGTTTCAGTCGAAAACCTGCCATTTCATGTTGTATTTGTAGAACTTCTTGCCGTTTTTCGTTTAGAGATTTCAGAATTTCATCAACTGAAAGTGGGAAGTTTTAAAGTTTCAAAGTCTCAAATAAAGAAGTTTACTATTTTTTTGTCTCTGTGGTAGTTTCACTTGAATCTCTGCAACGGTTGCCTCAAAAGTCAGAAGATTGTCCTTGTTTTTCAGAATTTGTTTTTCGAAAGAAGCCATTTTCTGAAAAAAAATTGTACTCAAAGACGAGCGTCAGCCATCACCGTAACTTCTCTCGCTGATTAGGGACAATGACAGAATCACATCGAAAAAGATAAAATCTAATTCTAATAGTAAGGGTACATTAGTTCCAATGGTATATGGGATTTTGTGGCACATGCGAGAGGACAAAAAGAACAAATTACTCTATTTAAAATTTGGTTCAAAATAATAGGCTTAGGCTAAAACGCCCTACACCCAATGATCCGTACCCTCTGAACCAATGTACCTTAAAAACTCGATGCGCCCTCGATGTACTTTTGAATCCTGGACCGAGTCTACAACCAAAAACCGACAATTTCTAAAAAAATAGTTTTGAGTAGCAGGAATCGAACCCGAGACGTTTCTTATGCTAATTCAAAAATCAACCACTGTACCATACGATCAGCATTTTCTTCAGTTTTCAATTGGTTTTATATTTTAAATCTTCACGCGATCTAATTTTTCCATCGTACTTCAGAAAAGATATGAAAAATCCAGAAGTCCCTCAAAAAATTGCAGTTTTTTGACAGAAATTTCAAATCTATTTTGATCCGTCCTCAGCGAAAACATGATACAGATTTAAACAGGACGTGTTCTAGGTTTTCGAATGATATAGATTTCGTTCTAAATTTTCACACTCGCGTTACAACCTTCCCTAGTTAAGTTATATACAAAACTCCTAAAACCGCTTCACGTTTAATTATTCACGTGAACTCTGACCTCCTTTTTTTTGTGATTGCTGCTGACACGTATGTCTCGTGGCAGTCAACATCAAGTTTGTCAGGTCCGACTCAACCCAATCACTTCGCATATCCATCGCCACAACGGATCAACGGATACAATTTGAAGGTATAGATGCTCACTCCCGTTCCAGAAACTCCTTCATTTTCAGAAAATGGGACTGTTTCACGAAATTTGCGACACCGCGCAGAAAAATGGATTCGTGATTCCATCGGCATCGTCCGTGGTTCGCACTGCAAAGTGTTCGTCTGGTGGTGGTGGTTCTGATGCTCCAGTTGAATTCGGAACAACCAAGTTCTATGCGTTGTGTGCTCTTGGAGGTTCTCTTTCTTGTGGATTGACTCATTTTGCAATCACTCCGTTGGATATTGTCAAGTGCCGTATTCAGGTTATACGATCTTTTTTTCAAACTTTAAGAGTAAAGGTTTTAGGTGAACAAGGAGAAGTACGGAAGTATGGTGCAAGGGTTCAAGGTGACTGTCGCCGAGGATGGCATGCGTGGTCTTGCTCGTGGATGGGCTCCAACATTCATTGGATACTCCGCTCAAGGACTTGGAAAATTCGGATTTTACGAGGTCTTCAAGAATATCTACAGTTCTGCTCTTGGAGAAGAGAATGCGTACATCTGGAGAACTTCCGTGTATCTGGCTGCATCTGCTTCAGCTGAATTCTTCGCCGACATCTTCTTGGCACCAATGGAAGCTGTGAAAGTTCGTATGCAAACTTCCCCGACGGCTCCCCCCACTCTCCGTGCTTGTGCTCCTATGATCTACAGAACCGAGGGGCTTACTGGATTCTTCAAGGGACTCCCGCCTCTTTGGACTCGCCAGATTCCATACACCATGATGAAGTTCACTTGTTTCGAGAAGACCGTTGAGTTGCTCTACCAATATGTAGTTCCGAAGCCACGTGCTCAATGCTCGAAGGCTGAGCAATTGGCAGTCACCTTCACCGCTGGATACATTGCCGGAGTTTTCTGTGCAGTCGTCTCCCATCCACCAGATGTTCTTGTTTCTAAACTCAATCAAGATGCTAATGCAAGTGTTGGAAGTCTTGTCAAGAAACTCGGATTCTCCGGTCTTTGGGGAGGACTTGGTCCAAGAATCATCATGGTTGGAACGTTGACTGCTCTTCAGTGGTTCATCTATGATTCATTCAAGGTAACTGTTTTTATAGATTAAAAAAAAACTTTTTTTTTCAGGTTGCCATGAACCTTCCACGTCCACCACCACCTCAAATGCCAGAATCTCTGAAGAAAAAGCTCGGAATTCCAGGAACAACTGAAGTGGCTCCAGCTTCCGCTGTGGCTCCAGTTCCAGTTGCACCAGTGAAGGCAGGAAAAGAAAAATCGGCTAAACCAGAAAAGCCAGCCAAGGCCGAGAAGAAGCAGGAGAAGGAAAAGAAAGAGAAAAAGGGAAAGAAAGCTGAGGAATCTGCCTAAAAAATCTGCCTGTGATATCAAGCTCCACTAATGGGATCCATTTTTGTAACTGTGAAATAAACTTTTTGAATGTATTGATTTACCTTCTTCTTTGCTTCCATCTTCTGCCTCATCCTCTCGTTTTCTTCAGACATTTTTTTGTTCTCCACTTCCAACTTCTTCATCAATTCCACTTTTTCCTTATACTTCTTGTTCTGTAAACTTGAGTGATATTCTTCTTCTTGATTCAACTTAACTCACGATATTCGCCCACTCTTGATCCAATTGCAGGCTAACTTTTTTCACATGATCTTCCACACTTTTCTCGTATTTGTGCAATTCTTTCTGAATCTCAATATCAGAAAAATTTAATTGCGATCCTTCATACCCACCTCGTAATCTAGCATTTTCAATGAGTGCTGGCTGCTTTAAAAAACGAGAATGGATTAGTTTTGAAAAAAAAATGAAAAAAAGACAAGCGAATGCAAAAAAAGAGAGAACACAAATGCATAGCAACGAAAAGAAGGGAAGAGAAGGGACCACTTTACGTTTTACATCTCAATTGAAAAATATGTCGAAATGTTTTCGGATGGATGGCAAAAACGGAAACAGGAAAAAGGAATAGAGAGAGGAGGAGGAGAGGAATGGAGGTCAATGCGAATATTTTTTTAATGAAACAACAGGGAAAAACAGTATGGAACTCCATGGAGTTGATTAGAATCAAAGAATTTTAAAAATCTTCGATTTAATGATTATTTCTCTCAGATTTTTCAGCAAAAAATTTTGTGGCCCTACAAATTGTGAAATTGTTAACTTTTGAGTAATTTTCGGATTTTTCAAAAATTCTCGGATTTTCAAAATATTAATGAATTTTTATTTTCTGATTTTTTCAACATGTTTAGATTTTTGAACTTTTAGCGTTTTCCAAATTCTTTGAAACGTTGGAAATTTTCATATTTTTGGTTTTTTTTTAAATTCTAGAAGTTTTAGAAATCTCCTTTTTTCAAATTCTTATCTACTCTTGACATATTTTATCTCATTCGGTCGACGTTTGGCGGGTTGATAGCGGGCGAGATGCTGGTCTGGATTCACCTGAAAGTTTTGAAATATTAATCTTCAATTAGTTAAAAAATCAGAAAATTCTGAGCGACTGGGGTTTTTGAATTTTCAAAATTGCACCATTTTCAGCCGAATTACAGTATTTTGAATACTTCTGAAATTTTTTTTACTGAGAAGGAGCATAGTTCGGTATTTTGTAGTGTGAGGTTTTTGGAGATTCAAAATATCACCTTCCAGATTCCATCGTTTGCTAGTTGTTCTCACTATTCAATAATTGTGAGGGTACGATCAGTGTTTTTTAAGTGTCCCAACCCGAATCCATTGCGAAATGGACCACAACATTGTTTTCTTCTACTTTTTTCGTCTTTGCCGTTTCTTGATCTATCGAACCCTGTCGTCCAACTTCAGATTGAGTAATAATCATCATAACCTTCCAAACACTTCGTGTGATATCATCACTCTATTTCTGTATTTCTTTTCCTCTCCTACTCACTCCATTTCACACTACATGCACTCGGTACATATAAGACGACAGTTTGCCGTTTGATTTATCATTTCAATACACATTTTTCACTTTACTGAAAGCTTAATATTTCAAACTTTGCAGAATCAACCCAGTTATTTTTGAATTCAAGGAAAATGAGTTTCGAATTGAAAGACAACATGACAGTTATGAATTTGTAAGGGAGAAAAAATAAAATTAACTTCTAAAAAAAAATTCAGATTTGAAGAATCGCAAGAGTCGGTGGAATTGAAAGAGAAGATTTCGAGCTTAAACATCAATATATCCAACTTGTTAATTGAGAACTACTATGATTTTATACATATCAGTTTGGCTAGAAAAGAAAAAGAGTTTTCTGGATGGTTGATTCATGATGGCGAAGGTTTGGATGACGATGATGGAATTGAAAGGATAACAATTGGAGATACTGCGTTCTTGAATTCGTCTGTTTCTTTTTCATAACCTATAAAAAAGAAAGTATAAATTCAGAGAGATCGGACAAACTCAGCTGGATCTCTGGCACGAAGACCGTTTTGAAGGCGCCCTCGGTCTTCTGAAATATCTTTTCGACATCTTCAAAGGCTCAATTCTGGAAGCGTCATTTATTACTGGAACTACCCCATCTCCAAAAATTGCTCAGTTTCTCGTCGACGTATTCCATTTGACTCCAGTTAAAGGATGTGCAAATGTGACACTTTTTGAGAATGGAATCTCCTCAAAACAAATGGTAGATCAAATTCTTGATCTAGCTACTGGCCTAAAACGTCTGGATCTCAGATGCCCACTTCCAGATGATTGGAGTAATCCGAAAGTATTGAAACTGGATAAATTGATTGCGTGGCCAGCAGAATGGTTTACCACAATGGATCTCATGACTCGATTGGATGGAAAGTGTGTCAATATAAATGAAACACATCTGAAATGGCAAGCATTCAAAGCATTCATGCTCAAATGGCAAATGACTAATGAGACGAGACTTAAAATTCTGGAAATTTCATTCGATGGTAATTGGGAAGGATTCCAAACAGATGGATTGAATCTCAAAAAGTGGGATCCTCAAGAAAGGGATAGTCACTATCCGTAAGTTAATTTTTTTAGAACAAAGCTTCTCATTAACCATACTTGCAACGGGCCGGGCCGGGCCGGGCCTTCAAAAAATTGGTCAAGGCCCGGCCCGGACGGGAGGCCCGGAAGGCCCGGCCAGTTGGCGCCAGCTTCGATTTTTGGGCAAAAAAGTGTGGTTTTTCTGGAAAAAAGTTGTTTTTATCATCTAATTTTAAGCTAAATTGTAAATATTGAATTTGTAAATGTTTAAACAAATGTTTGAAAAAATATTTTTTTCCTGAATTTTTCCAAAGTTGACATCGAAAAAAAAACAGTTTTCTCTCGAAAACTAGTTTTTTTTTGAAAAAATTCTCAAAAAATTCTCAAAAAAATTTTGTTTTTTGAGAAATTTCGATCAAATAAATTCTTGTCCGGGCCTTCCGGGCCTTCAAAAATTTTCAAGGGCCGGGCCTTCAACGATTTTGGCAAGTACGTGATTAACAAAAAATCCTATTCAGAGATCTGTTCGGAAAACCATCTGCCGATTGGTTCAACTGTGAATTCGTTCATGACATTCAACGCGAAGATGGTCTTCTGGCTTCATTTTGGAGGAGAGAGAACAGCTTTCATTTTGTTGTCTGGCACGATCGTCATCCAATTGCCACGTTGCAACCGAATCCAGAGCAACTGGTCAGCTTGGAAAACTACGAATTCGCGGATGAAGATGATGAGGAGGACGAGGATGAGGAATGAAAAATTGAACTGATATTTCTATTTTTGTGGAGTACAATAAATATAAATGTTGTTCGATTTATTGGTTTTCAATTTTGAAATGTTCCGAAATGTTTCTAATTGTTATCCTAGATTCTCTCAATGTCTTTCGCTTTAAATATGAGAAGATATGAAGAAAATATTCATGCGCCCCTCGAGGAGTTGAACTTGTGGGACGAGTATTGCAGGTTCGGCGCCGCTACCGACTGAGCCACATGGGCTGGAGCGGCGCCCGATAGCATACATAAAAGCGGGCACGACAGCTGTACTGCATTGTACACCGTCAAAATGCATACCCTTTCTCCAAAAAAATATCCGAAAAATCTACTCCTCAACCATGAACATCTAAAGTTCGTTTTCCCAGCTTAAAGAAATTCCCATTCAAATAAATATTCTTCGATCTCTCTCTCTCTCTTTTCTGTTTGAAATCACATCACACTTCTCCTATTGCTCCTCTTCTCTGTTTCAGTTTCCCCAAGTACATTTGTCACATTTTTTCTTTCAAAATCCCAATTGGTCGCAAGCTTCTTCTTCTTCTTCTCCCAAATTTCTCACACATTCGTCTCATCGTAAACGGAAAAACGAGAAAAAGCAAACTTCGGCGGAAGGAGCAGTTGACCCAAAAAAGAGCAAAGAAGAAGAAATTAGAAAGCGATTCACAACTCGTTTTCCGAGTATTTCGGACGCAAGGGAAACTAGAAGAGTACTGATTCTTTTTCTGTGACTTTTATGTGTTTTTCCGGTCCGGTGGAAAAATATCGAAGAAAAAGAAAAAAGGAAAACGGAGAGTCTCAAAGGTGCCCAATCCGATATCATTTTTCTACTTATTATTGGACATTCTCTTTTCGTTTTCCTCTTGGTTCCAGTCGAGGAAAAACAGCCGTTCATCTTTTTCTCCGTTTTATTCTTATCTTTTTCGTTTTTGGCCCATTTTTCTTCCTTTCCTACTTCAAAAAATAAACATACATAAATTTCGAAAAACTTTCAAAATAGTTCCGTATTCCAACTAATAGATTAGCACACCGCGAAGCCTGTAATAGAAGGGCCCCTAACTTCTAACTTCAAATCCAAAGTTTTTCGGTACCTGTCAAGGATTTTAAAAAAGTGGACAACTAATAATTTTTATCATAACATCACAAACATTTTGTCAATCGATACATTTTTTGTCATAGGAATTTATGGGTTTCTGTTAGAGACAATACGGTATTTTCAAACAGATACGATGTCTTCGACCTCTCTGGATACTTTGTTCTCTTTTTGTTTTAACCTAAAATTTTAACCTAAAAATTGCGTTTCTACTTTGTTACTTTCCGTTTCAATGAGCTCAAAAAAAGGGGGATATTCTAGACAAAAGGAGATACATTCTATTGTTTGTTTGTGAATTAGTGATAAAGAAACAGGGCACTTCTCTTCAAGGATCATCAGAAATTTTCATCTCATTGAGCACATTCTGCTTACTATTAGTCTTCTTCTACTTTTCCAAAGTTCACTAGAGAGCTTGAAACTTTGAAAAAAATGTGGGCTAAAACTTCAAAGCATTTAGCCATTCTATTTTCAGCTAATGTTAAACAAGGAACTTCTTTATTTTCCTTATCTCATAGTCAGCTCTTTTTTTGTTTTTTGCTCTTTAAACTTCCAGTTTTCATGCTTCTCTTTCTTGTTTTTTTGGGCATCTGACCCGTTGCTCCCGATTTCTGGTGGTTCCTTAATTCTCTCTTCTTTTCTCAATTTGATTTTCGCCTGTTTTTGATACAGAATTAGGAGATGGAACGTTATCTTTGATTTTCTTTTTGACAGTGGAAAGTTCACCAACCTTTCTGACAACTGGTGTCTAGAAGTTCGTGTTTTCTTGAATAGAGTTGTAGGATTCTGGAATTTTCGAGTATTGTGCGACAAATCCATTGTTGTATTCTTGTCTATCTCGAAAGCCCTAACACCATAGTTAGCTAGCTGGCAACATAACCTCGGAAAATATCCTAACAAAAAAAATAACAAAAAAACCAACAAAAAAGTGTAAATACTCTAAAAGAAGCCCACCCTGTGCACTTTGATCTAATTTATTTCGATTCCTGTAAAAGATATCAAAACTATATTAACTGACAACATATTTCTGATATTATGATAAACAATTTATCAATCGATCATTTTTGATATCTTTTACAAGAACCAAGATAAATTGGTTCGAAGTTGAATGTTAGTGTGGGCTTCTATTAGAGAAGTTACGGTATCTTTAAACGCCTACTCAAAAATAAACATCTAGGGATTGTGTCAAACTACAAACTACAAATCTTTATTTTTCTTCCCACCCACCCCCAACAAACCAATTTTCCAATTACTTAACGCCAAGCATTCGGTTTCAAATTTCTTCCTTTGAATTCTTGAGTCTTCCTTCTTTTTTGTCTACTTCTTTTTATCTGAATTCCCAACAAATCATCGAAATATTCGTCCGATGTCATCCTTTTTCCCCATTTTTGTCATCTCCCTTTCTCTCCTCCCATTTTTCAACGAGAGATTTTATCGAATCGAGACACCCAGAGATGCTCCGAATCTGATTTAGTGCTAGTTAATGGCGCCTGGGGTCCTCCTATCCTTTCATGAACGCATGTCGGGATGCCTAAATTTTTTATTTTCTGTTTTTTAGACCTTTCCCTGGTTTCTACATCAACTTTTTTATTCTATCACATTTCGTTTTTTGTCTTTCTCTCTCTCTATCTATATCTCAATTTATGTTTTTTTTATATCTATCCCAACATATTCTGAAACACTTTCTGAAATCGTTTCTCATATTTCTGATACCCATGGGACCCATCACCAGAGGTTTTCGACTCGCCCGAGCTCGTGAATCATACGCCAAAAGTCACCACACTGCATTTGCATTTGGGGTCCCGGACACCACAACTTCCGTCTATTTTTTCTCGGCTGTGTCTCTTTTTTGACATAAATTCGAGTAAAGTTTCAGACATGTTTGGAAGACGTCATCTGGGAATCTGAGTCGAGTCAAACTGGCTGCGAAAACTGTTGTACCGCCTTTTAGAATGTCGCTTTTCATGTTCTTCGGACTCGGACGGGTAAGTCATTTTTTGAGTTTATTATAGTCTCAATGAAAGTGGACCTGTCATAAGAGATGTCAAATTTTGGAAATCCAAGTCCTATTTTTTTACAATAGATGCTTTTTGCTGATTTTCCACAATTCTAATGAGACTGGTCCGAAACCAGCAGTATTGTTGTTATTGGAAATGCAATTACCGCATGAAATTACCGTAGTCCACTTTGATCTCATTTATCTCGGTTCCTTCAAAAGATATCAAAAAAGTTGTCAACTGATAAAATTGTGGTCATTTTACGAAAAACATTTCATCAGTTGACAAATTTTTAATATCTTTCAAAGGATCCGAGATAATTGAGTTAAAAGTTGACTGTTTCGGTGGGCTTCTCTTAAGAGGAAATACGGTGATTACTTTGAAAGAAATAATGAACTTTTAACAAGCCCTTTTTTTTAACAAGCCCAGAATTTTTTTAACAAGCCCAGAATAGCAAATTCGTTTTGATTGTTTTGATCTGATCACAGATTTTGGACCTTTCTTCCGCTCTATTTTTTAAGAACTATCAAAAAATTCCTAGGAACTATTTGGTGTGGCTTTCAATTCCCTTCTGTGACCATAAATTCTTTTCGGCCAGAAAAGAATCTTCCATCTTTGATGTATTCGAAAGTTTTGACTTCGCTCTTCCCATTTTTGTCCCGTTGTCGCTGAGGCCAAACTGAGCGCAATGAGATATCCGACGAGAACTCGTGATATGAACTTTTAGCTACAGTATTCACCTACCCCATGACAAAAAGACTCTTCATCGCATCTAGGAAAAGAGTTAAAATTCATACTGTTGGACTTCATTAACAGATTCGAAGAGCTCCTTGTTATCAGCACTGACCCGATTCAATACCGTATCGATTCAGTTCAAATCTATAAAAATCGATCACAAATCCTTTTCTTATAGTTTTCATCGGCGTCAAGTTCTGAAAAGAAATGTGAATGCTGTTAAAAATGGGAACTGCTTCAAATAATATGAAATACAGGTTGGCTCATAATTGCCCGCCCAATAGTTCGTACAAGCATAAAATCAAAGTAAAGCGTTAGAGTGGGCTCAAATTTGAATGCAAAAATTCAAATAATTCATCAATAAACTGGCCAATTTGCAAATCATTTGATCAACTTTAGGTGAGTAATAGCTTGTCAAACTTGCTTCATCTCATGAATATCAAGAAACATAACGCCGTTCATCTTAGGACAATCATAACGGTACCTAGTCTTGAGGAATCGCTTTTTTTCAGTAGCCTTGAACAGACCGTAAAATTATATTTCTATCAATTATCGTGCTTCCAAGATACTTATGTCTAAAGATATACTTGTTTTTAACGGTCTGGGTAATTGTGCACGTCATTATCTATTCTCCAGGGTCCATCAAGTATGAATTCTATAAAAGCAATGAGCGGAATCGTATCTACAGATGACTTTCAACAATGCAAAATTATGAAATTTTATCTAAAGCTTATCCGGAAAACTGTCCCATCTGTCCACCCAATCGACCGGTCAATGAGCCGAACCACGTGTCTGTCTTTGACCCATCTGTCCATCCTTTGCTCTCTTTTTCAACGTCATCAGTCTCGATTCTCTATCAACCCCAAAAATTTCGGGGTGTCCATCTAAGATTTCTCCTTTTTCTTTTTTGCGAGAAGATTTGAGTTGCAAGTGATTTTTGCATGACGACTTGCTGGACAGACATGTCACTTTTCACTCTCCGCCTCTTTTCGGGTTCTCTCCTTTTGGCTCTTACCACTTGTATACAAATTCATTTTCTCCTCCTCCCATACTCCAACTCCTCGATTCCCATCCCCATCTCCGTTTTGGCTCTTTTGCAATGTCTAGACGGTAAAAGAAAGCCGGCACAATGAAGCTTGAAGAAGATGATGAGGAGTTGAAGAAATGTATGGAAGAAGATATTCTGAAAGCATTTCTAGAAGAGGATTTTAATTCTCAACACTATGATTCCATATGGGAGGTAATCGGTTGAAGGAGTCCTTCTTGAATATTCTTCTCTTTTAATTTTTTAATTTTTTTTTCAGTGCCTTCAACATAATCGAAGAGCAATCGCCGTCAATGGCTTCATCATCATTTTCCTGATAGTCTACACTACAATTGGAGGATTTATCTTCCTGAATTTCGAGTTCGAGTACCAACAATACATGAAACAGAATGCGACACTGGAAAAGAGATTGTGCATTGAATCACTTCTGAATCGAGATAACAGATTACGGTTGACAAGGGCTTCTGATGTTGCTGCGGCGATTGCCGAGAGATGTTTGACAGAGAAGGTGAGCTTCCCAAACGAATCTCTAGTTCAAAATAAGTTCAATCTAAACTAGCCATGTTTAAAAGGTGTGTCATGAGGAGCCCATAGTGTTTTCAAGAAGGCTCTGAAGTTTTTTTTACGTTTTTATAGTTCCCATGCTTGTAAAACGGACCTTTTCATAGAGTCTACGAACCTAAGATATAAGCCATAAAGTGGATGATTCGGGCCGGGCGGAGCCCTGCCTGTTTTCTCGGCCCGTTTAGTCTGTAACTTCGTTCATAGACAAGATACAGTTTTCCGAATTGTAACATTCTGTAGCACTCGTCGAGTTCTATCATATCTGATTTAGTTCCTTCAAAAACATTGGTTCTAAAACAGCTTTGGCTCGGTTTACAAGTATGATACTCCCAGTTCTCGTTACGATCTTCTTTTCCAATCTGAGATTTTATAGGTAAAAGACGATCGAATGCAATGGTCATTCAAATCGGCAGCTCTCTACTCTCTAGGAATTCTCACAACTTTGGGTAAGTTTTTCTTTCGAAGAGGGCAAAACCAGAAGGCTCAGAAAGAGTTGAAAGGAAGCGGTCACCCCACTTGACTGAGTGATGACTCGGACAAATGGATTCTCCTGAGGGACTGAGAACCCACAGTTGAGATGCAAATGTACTTGAAAAAATATCAGAAAGTTTTTTTTGGGTTGCCTGAGTAGAAGATGTTGAGTGTAGGGTAGGGAAAAAATCAAGTTTCGAGAGACACTTGTCAAAACAAAAACGTTTTTTGGCGTAGAGAAGATTTCTAGGAGACACCATGACATAATCCCCGTCGTCGCCAAGTTCGAATTTGTATACAAACATGAGAATTTAGTGGGAGGGTCCTAAAGGGGGGGGGGGGGGCAATTTAGTTAAACATAAAAGTTCACTTGATTTTTGAGAAGTTAGTTATTTTTGGAACTTAGAAAAGTTGTTTCAGAATCCTAGACCAAGGGAATTTTTTCAGCCAGTAACTACGCGAGCAAGAAATAATAAATACCGTATTTGCACTAATAGAAACTTACTCCATACCTGCTTTTTTGAGCACGATTATATCGATTCCTTGAAGAGATCAAAAATCTGCCAACCGAAATATTAGGGATATTATGATGAACAATGTATCAATTGACAAGAGTTTGATATCTCTCATAGGAAAGAAGAAGATTGAGTTCAAAGTGCACATTTAGAGTGAGGTTCGATTAGAGAAAATACGGTTTAGAAATCCATATTTGGAAAAGAAGAATAATCGAAGTTTTAGGCTGAAACATACCAAAACTCAATGGTTCTTTTTGAACTGTATTCAGATTTTTGACTTTAAGGATACGGAAAGATCGAGCCCCAGACAATTAATGGTCGTATCTCAACAGTAATCTATGGTTTCTTCGGAATCCCATTAACCGTCATCCTTCTCACTAACTTTGGAAGATATCTCGAAGCGATGGCAACTAGATTCAGAAGACTCCTGACATGCAGAAAACGTCGAGAAGATGAAGAAGAAAACGTTTCAGGAAGCACTTTATTTTTCATCGTTCTAGTTTATCTTATTGTCGGAGCCATTACGATACCATTGATGAGTGGACAATTCGACTTCTTCAATGGAATCTACTACGCATTTATCTGTTTGACAGCTATCGAATATGGAGATATCGTTCCACAAAAGTGAGTATAATACTCGAGTAGTTCCCGCTGTGAATTTCAAAAGCCAATGTAAAACTTTACAGCAATTGGTTCGTACCTATCAGTGTTTTCTACATGTGTACGGGGCTCGCCATATCAACTATTGCTTTAGGTAAGTACCGACTTCTTCCTTGGAAACGGAGGAATGAAGTTTCAAGGCAACCGTTGCCCAGCACCTAGAAAGCTAGTTGCTAGGAGAGTCGTTGCCTAGTAATGTCGTCTTGGAGATGTATCCATGAAACCAGTTTGCCATGGAATATGGGATAGTTAGCATAGAGGGTATCTTGACAATTTTAGAATATCGAGGAAAATGAAATTTGAAAATATTTGCTGATTACGGTAGTTCGGCCACCAGGCTTTCTCTTCCACAGCTCCAATTCTTGCGTACCAGTATAATAGCTAGAAATATCCTCGTGAATAACATTAAATCAATTTCAGACATTGGATCAATTTATGTCAGAAAGTTGCATTTCATTGGCAAGAAAATCAAAAATATTGCAAACATTCGCATTTGGTTTGGTGCCAGAAAGTGAGAATTGAAAACACTGTTTCTAAAATCCAAAACTTCATTTTTTAGCCTGGAGGTCCGGGAACTCATAACTGCAGTAGGGCAGAATATTGGTATTGATCAGAATGTGATAGCTGATATCGATATTGATACATTGGTGAAAACGGCGATTCAGGTGAAATTGGGACGACTTTCAAGAGTCCCACAGACTCATATGATTGTTGAAGGCATTTGGCCTCCAGAACTGGTTCCATTATTCATGAAGGTCCGTTTGGGTTTTTGAATTTCAATCATATATTTTCTTGAAACATTTTCAGGATGGCCAGTTCCCACTGTTCGTCGATTCCGAAGATGATCTTACTGATATTCGGCCGAAGAAGTATTCGGTACATTTTGAAGATGAACCAATGATATCTGAAATTGACGACACGTCGGACTCTGAAATGGCTGCAGACAATCTCAAATGACGTCATCCAGATTGTCACCAATGCCTCCCAGACGCCCGATGCAACTAAAGCTACGCGACTCTACAACTGGTAACTAGATACATTTGTCTAGCTTTTTAGCTAACGCAATTTTTCCAGATTCTTCAGATCAAGCTCATCGGGATGGAGCGATGAACTCTTCAGAAATTACAACAACATTAACATCGGATCTTTCCACTGACACTTGATTCTTTGATTTGTATTCTGTTTCAGTTGTCTGATTGTAAATCTTATTTTATCTTTGAAATGTATATTTATTCATTTTTTTCAAACAAATACTACTCCGAGATATAAAAGGCAAGAAGTGTTGAGACCGTACAAATCCGCAAGAAACGAATGCGAAAGAAACCAGACTTGCAAAACGGGCCCTTTCAAAACTTCTTTTAAAATCAACATTTTCTGAACATTTAATATTCATATGATAGCAATTTCTACAAAATGATACTATTTGGAACACTGTATCTTGTCTATGAACAAATTTACAGACGAAACGGGCCGAAAAAAGGGGCAGGGCCCGGCCCGGATTGGTCACTTTATCGCTTGTAACTTTGTTAATTGACAAGCTGCAGTGTTCCAAATAGTATCATTTTGTAGAAGTTGCCGAGTTCTATCATATGAATAATGTTCAGAAATGTTCAGAAAATGTTGATTTTAAAAGAAGTTATGAAAGGGCCCGTTTTGCAAGTCTGCAAAAAACGAATCGGCAAGAACGCTAAACCGTGGGGGTTGGGGCGACAAATAAATGGCTGTTATCATTAGAGTGATGGATCACAAAAAGCCAAAGATAATTGGGATGGAGGGTGACCGCTGTGAAAATTTACAGAGACCATGGAAAAAGGGGTGTATGAATAATAAGAGAATGGATAAGACAAGTAGAAGAAGTTCGAACTTGTGCTTAATCCTCGCACCAGGCATTCTCCTTGCGGATTTGCTCCTCCTCCTCTGGAGTGAAATCATTCTTGATGTTGAATGTGCGACGAATTTCTTCTGGAGACTTTCCCTTGATCATGTTAGCAACAGTTTTGCAGGTGACATCGAGAAGTCCCTTGATATCCAAGTAGTTAGCAGCCAAGATGAGCTCGAAAAGAGTTCCTTGGTCGACTTTGAGGAACTCGACATCCCACCTGGCGATGTCATCAGTGCGCTTCTCACGATTGTCCTGATCATCGGCT